GGCGGCGCGCAGCAGGCGCAGCGCCGGCACCAGCAGCGCCGCCAGCGCCGCGCTGCCCCAGCCCGCCAGCGAGCGCCGCGCCGAGCCCAGCAGCGAGCACAGCGCGATGTTGACGAAGTCCCAGGCGGCGGCGCTGGCCTGCCAGCCGCGGGCCTCCACGGCGGCCGCCATGAGCTCCAGCACGGCCGCGTTGTTGGCGACGTCGGCCCACGAGCACTCCGATATGTTTCTGTTCGGTATTCGTAATATAATATTCAGAGGCGGCAACACTGCGCACACTTTAAACAGCGACTCAAAAACAATTTGACTGTCGGCGTCGAGGCATCAGAATAAAATGTCCTTTCGTGTACAAAACAAAGCTGTTTTTTAATCGCTGTAAGCACCTGCGTTAGGCAGTAGGTGAGGACGCCGTAGCGTATCTCAAGCCAAAAAATGAAAAACAAAAAAAAAAGAAATAATATTTAAAAATATGCTTGGGGTGTGATCTACAAACGACACCGAAGCTAATGTTGGAACTGATGCTCTTGTCTTGATAACTGATAATCTTGATAAATAAAACTTGTGTGCACACTTGTACGGTTAATAAGTAAAGCGTTGAATGCGCAAAGAGTAAAATTGCAATTATACAAATTCATGTACTTTGTACACTATAAATATAGTTTATAGAATTTTAGTTTGTTTGTCTGTATGTCCGGGCTCAACTCAAAAAGTACTACATGGATTAAAATCAAATTTTGCATGAATATTATTAACAGATCGGGTCAACATACATACAACATAGGTTACATATTATCACGCTATCACGTACGGGGGAGGAGCTGTGAATAAATGTTTAAACGTGGTGTAACGACAGACTATGAAAAATATCGTCGATCCATTTTTTTATTTTGTCGTGTAAATAAATAAAACTATGTGAATTATAGTGGTGCGGTAGGTATCGTTAGATATAGCAAGACTAGACCGAACCTGTCGAAAAGCATGGACGACGGCTGCGCGTAGTATGCGGCGACGAAGACGTCCAGGTCCTGGTCCGCGGCCGGCGCCGGGTCCATTGGCGCCGTGCCCGTGGCCGCGGCCGACGCCGGGTCCATTGGCGCCGCGCCCGTGGCCGCGGCCCAGCTGCGCAGCGCCACCAGCCGGCGCACGCGCAGCGCCTCGCCCGCGTCCGCCTGCATCTGCAACCGCCGCACTTACCACTGCGTCCGCAGCGCACTCTGCGCCGCGCGCCCGAGCTTACCTGCAGGCTGTGGAAGAATCCGTTCCCGGACATGAGGTCCTGCGCCGCGCAGTCCAGGGCGGGCGGCTGCAGGCCCGGCACGAGGCGGTGCAGCGCGCGCTGCGCCAGCGCCCACAAGTAGC